TATGCTGTTTGCATTGTAGACATGGAAAAAAGCCCTGCCATCAAGTTGAAATTGCCTTTTAAGATTCCTACTGTTTGTAACCTCAGTAATTCCAGCTAGTAAAACAGAAACCTCATACTCAAAAAGCAGACTGGACTAGACCCAAATGATTGCAGAGTTACATAATTCATCTTATTGCCCTCATGGAAATATTTATTTATTTATGCTCCCTCTTCACCATCAATATGGCTACCATAGATCCTCAAAAGTGAAGAATGCATTTCAGGCCGTATGTAGAGTTTTAAAATTCTGTTACAGAAATTATTTCATATTATAAAATTCATTTTAAGCGAGTCATTTTTATTTTAACCTATATTCATTTACAACCAATACAATTTCTAAACCTTTTATTGGTTTTGTAGAGATTCTTGGCTGTTGCAATTGCTGTTTCTAAATTTTTTATAGAGTTCTTGTGGTAGAATCATACAATTAGTAATGTTCATTAAATGCTATAATTTAATTATCACTGACATTATTATAGCTCATTCAGTTCATTAAACTTAGATCCTTCTTGACACTTTCATTTCTCCTTTAAAAAGAAAAACACAACTCAGAAGGCAGTCACACATTTTGTTGTCCTGCAGTTTGAACTATCTTAGAACTGAAGCAGCTTTGCAAATGGCCACTCACCTCCTGCAAGTAGTGGTCAGGTGACTTTTAAATAGCATTGAATTCATTCATGTGATTACTTGAATTGTGTGTGCTAGTAGGAGAAAAGAGAGAAAGGCTGTTATTGCAAAGCAGACTTAATATCAATTATATATGTTTACATTTACCCTACTGTCCAGCATTTCTTTTCAGTTCACCTCATGCTGAATTACATGCAGATCATTGTTTTAAAAATATTTTTTGAAAAAATATTACAGTGTATTTTCTTAAAATATAGAAAGTTATCAAGTTTAGTGTATCATAAAGAAAAAATTCTGAATATTCTAATGGCTTTATAAAATAATCATTTATTTGCTAGGTAAGTTCTCTTCTACGATCTATGAGACTGGTGGCTGTGATATGTCACTTGTGAATTTTGAACCAGCAGCAAGAAGAGCATCTAATATCTGGTATGTGTGAAGTCATTAGGAGTGTGTATATACTTGCATATATTTGCCATATCTAATGTTTTTAAGCCTTGA